GCAGTGAGGAGATTGCTGTGAATGTCTCTCTCGATAATGACTGTGTGTGACTGAGGCTCTGATCGCAGCTGTTGTTTGAGGTTGGACACTTGTTTACTGAGCTGGTGGCCACGTCTGACCCTGGATGCTCAGCGGGAGAGGGGGGGGGAGGGGTAGTGATCACCACCCTGGGCCTCAGCTGTAACATGACCAGCCCAGTGACCACCTCCCACACTCGCTCCATTCATCCCATCCCAGTGGAACATGACTCACTCTGGAGTGCCTGCACTCGCCCACTGGCCGGCCAGGAGCCTGTCTGTGTCTGACTCTGTCTCCAACTCTGTGTGTGTGTGTGTGTCTCCCTGTGTGTGGCATTCATAACATCCAGGCTTGACTATGCAAACTCCTGCTTGTCGGCCTCCTAAGCAGTTAGGAAGGCTAATAGCCTGTTAGCATTTATTGTAAAGGGGTTAGAGTACAAGAGTAGGGAAGTCTTGCTGCAATTGTATAAGGCCTTGGTGAGAGCACACCTGGAATATTGTGTTTTGGTCTCCTTATCTAAGAAAGGACATACTCGCCTTAGAGGGGGTGCAACGTAGATTCACTATGTTGGTTCATGGGATGAGGGGCTTGACCTATGAGGAGAGGTTGAGTAGATTAGGCCAATATTCTCTAGAATATTGAAGAATTAGAGGCGATTTTATAGAAACACAAGATTCTTAAGGGTCTTGACAGGGGAGATGCCGTGAGACTGTTTCCCCTGGTTGGAGAATCTAAAACTAGGGGTCATAGATTCAGGATTAAAGATCAGCCCTTCAGAACTGAGTTGAGAAAACATTTCTTCACGCAGAGAGTAGTGAATTGATGGAATTCTCTATCCCAGAGGCTATGGATGCTCAGATATTGAATATATTCAAGACTGAGGTTGATAGATTTTTAAAAACTAAAGGAATTAACGGATATGGGAATAGGGCGGGTAAATGGAATTAGGTTAGAAGATCAGCCATGATCTTATTAATTGGCAGGGCAGGCTCGAGGGGCCCAATGGCCTACTCCTGCTCCTACTTCTTATATTCTTATGTTCTTCCCAACTCCTCCCTCCATAGGCTGCTGATCATCCAGAACTCGGCAGCCCATTTCGTCTCCCACACCAGGCTCCGTGACCCTTTCACCCCGATCCTTGCCCAACTCCACTTTCTTTCCATCACACAGAGGATGCAGTTCAAGATCCTGGTCCTCACCTTCAAAGCCCTCCATGGTCTTGCTCCCCCCGACCTCTGCGACCTCCTAACATCCTGTTCGCTCCCTCCGCTCAGCGGGCTCCGGCCTACAATTGGCGGGCGAGCCTTCCGCTACTCTGCCCCCACCCTCTGGAACGCCATCCCACAGTCCCTCCACCTCGCCCCCTCCCTCGCCACCTTCAAGACTCATCTCAAGACCCTCCTCTTCGACGTGCTTTCGATCTCCCTGCTTTCCCCCCGCCCTCCACCCTCCCCAACCCTGACCCCCAGCTTGGGTCCAAAACATTGACTGTCCAGCGCAATGGAACATCATCCTGACGTGAAAGGCGTATATAATTTATAATTTTGTCTCTCTCTCTTTGTCTCTCTGTATGTGGGTGTCTCTCTCTCCCTCTGTGTGTGTCTCTCTCTCCCTCTGTATGTGTGTGTCTCTCTCCCTGTATGTGTGTGTGCGTCTCTCTCCCTGTATGTGTGTGTGCGTCTCTCTCTCCCTGTATGTGTGTGCGTCTCTCTCTCCCTGTATGTGTGTGTGTCTCTCTCTCCCTGTATGTGTGTGTGTCTCTCTCTCCCTGTATGTGTGTGTGTCTCTCTCTCCCTGTATGTGTGTGCGTCTCTCTCCCTGTATGTGTGTGTGTGTCTCTCTCTCCCTGTATGTGTGTGTGTCTCTCTCTCCCTGTATGTGTGTGTGTCTCTCTCTCCCTGTATGTGTGTGTGTGTCTCTCTCTCCCTGTATGTGTGTGCGTCTCTCTCCCTGTATGTGTGTGTGTGTCTCTCTCTCCCTGTATGTGTGTGTGTCTCTCTCTCCCTGTATGTGTGTGTGTCTCTCTCTCCCTGTATGTGTGTGTGTCTCTCTCTCCCTGTATGTGTGTGTGTGTCTCGCTCCCTGTACGTGTGTGCGTCTCTCTCTCCCTGTATGTGTGTGTCTCTCCCTCCCTGTATGCGTGTGCGTCTCTCTCCCTGTATGTGTGTGTGTGTCTCTCTCCCTGTATGTGTGTGTGTGTCTCTCTCTCCCTGTATGTGTGTGCGTCTCTCTCCCTGTATGTGTGTGTGTGTGTCTCTCTCCCTGTATGTGTGTGCGTCTCTCTCCCTGTATGTGTGTGTGCATCTCTCTCTCCCTGTATGTTTGTGTGTGTATGTGTGTGCGTCTCTCTCTCCCTGTATGTGTGTATGTGTTTCTGGAATTGCACACATCTCTCTCTGTGTGTCTGTCTCCTGGTGGTGGATGAGCAGCTGTATTATCCATGTATCCTGAATGCTGCTTCATCCTGGAGAATGGGAAACTCATCCTGACTCCCACTCACATTCCTCTCCCCAGCTGTGCCCTGGCTGTGTGTCTTAGTGTGACAATGTGGTGGGGGCACATGGCTGTGTGTGTGTGGGGGGGCATGGCTGTGTGTGTGTGGGGGGGCATGGCTGTGTGTGGGGTGGGGGGCATGGCTGTGTGTGTGGGGGGCATGGCTGTGTGTGTGTGGGGGGGGCATGGCTGTGTGTGTGTGGGGGGGGCATGGCTGTGTGTGTGGGGGGGCATGGCTGTGTGTGTGGGGAGGCATGGCTGTGTGTGTGGGGGGGCATGGCTGTGTGTGTGGGGGGGCATGGCTGTGTGTGTGGGGGGGCATGGCTGTGTGTGTGGGGGGGCATGGCTGTGTGTGGGGTGGGGGGGCATGGCTGTGTGTGGGGTGGGGGGCATGGCTGTGTGTGGGGTGGGGGTGCATGGCTGTGTGTGGGGTGGGGAGGCATGACTGTGTGTGGGGTGGGGACATGGCTGTGTGTGGGGTGGGGGGCATGGCTGTGTGTGTGTCGGGGGACCATCGCTGTGTGTGTGGGGTGTCCATGGCTGTGTGTGTGGGGGGGGACATGGCTGTGTGTGGGGTGGGGACATGGCTGTGTGTGTGGGGGGGCATGGCTGTGTGTGGGGGGGGGGGCATGGCTGTGTGTGGGGGGGCATGGGGGGGCATGGCTGTGTGTGTGGGGGGCATGGCTGTGTGTGGGGGGGCATGGCTGTGTGTGTGGGGGGGCATGGCTGTGTGTGTGGGGGGGCATGGCTGTGTGTGTGGGGGGGCATGGCTGTGTGTGTGGGGGGCATGGCTGTGTGTGTGGGGGGCATGGCTGTGTGTGTGGGGGGGCATGGCTGTGTGTGTGGGGGGGCATGGCTGTGTGTGTGGGGGGGCATGGCTGTGTGTGTGGGGGGGCATGGCTGTGTGTGTGGGGGGCATGGCTGTGTGTGTGGGGGGCATGGCTGTGTGTGGGGTGGGGACATGGCTGTGTGTGGGGTGGGGACATGGCTGTGTGTGGGGGGGGGGCATTGCTGTGTGTGTGGGGGGGACCATGGCTGTGTGTGGGTGGGGACATGGCTGTGTGTGTGGGGGGGTTGGCATGGCTGAGTGTGTGTGGGGGGCATCGCTGTGTGTGTGGGGGGGCATGGCTGTGTGTGTGTGGGGGGGGCATGGCTGTGTGTGTGGGGGGGACCATGGCTGTGTGTGGGGTGGGGACATGGCTGTGTGTGGGGGCGGGCATTGCTGTGTGTGTGGGGGGGACCATGGCTGTGTGTGGGGTGGGGACATGGCTGTGTGTGTGGGGGGGGTTGGCATGGCTGAGTGTGTGTGGGGGGCATCGCTGTGTGTGTGGGGGGGCATGGCTGTGTGTGTGTGGGGGGGGCATGGCTGTGTGTGTGTGGGGGGGGCATGGCTGTGTGTGTGGGGGGGGCATGGCTGTGTGTGTGTGGGGGGGCATGGCTGTGTGTGTGGGGGGCATGGCTGTGTGTGTGGGGGGGGGCATGGCTGTGTGTGGGGGGGGGCATGGCTGTGTGTGGGGTGGGGACATGGCTGTGTGTGTGGGGGGCATGGCTGTGTGTGTGGGGGGGCATGGCTGTGTGTGTATGAGGGGGGGGCATGGCTTTATGTGGGGGGGACCATGGCTGTGTGTGGTGGGGGGGGGGGGGGGGCATGGCTGTGGGGGGGGGGGGGGCATGGCTGTGTGTGGGGGGGGCATGGCTGTGTGTGGGGTGGGGACATGGCTGTGTGTGTGGGGGGGCATGGCTGTGTGTGTGTGGGGGGTGCATGGCTGTGTGTGTATGAGGGGGGGGGCATGGCTTTATGTGGGGGGGACCATGGCTGTGTGTGGCGGGTGGGGGGGGGGGGCATGGCTGTTTGTTTGGGGAGGGGGCCATGGCTATGTGTGGGAGTGGGCATGGATGTGTGTGTGGGGAGGGGGCCATGGCTGTGTGTGTGGGGAGGGGGCCATGGCTGTGTGTGGGGGGAGGGGCCATGGCTGTGTGTGTGGGGAGGGGGCCATGGCTGTGTGTGGGGGGAGGGGGCCATGGCTGTGTGTGTGGGGAGGGGGCCATGGCTGTGTGTGTGGGGAGGGGGCCATGGCTGTGTGTGTGGGGAGGGGGCCATGGCTGTGTGTGTGGGGAGGGGGCCATGGCTGTGTGTGTGGGGAGGGGGCCATGGCTGTGTGTGTGGGGAGGGGGTCATGGCTGTGTGTGGGAGTGGGCATGGATGTGTGTGTTTGGGGAGGGGGACACATGGCTGCGTGTGTGGGGGGGACATAGCTGTGTGTATGACCCTCTCTGTCTCTGTGTGTCTGTCCTCTTTGTCTCTCTCACTGTCTGTGTGTCTGTCGCTGTCTGTCTCTCTGTGTCTGTGTGTGTGATCCTCTATGTCTGTCTGTGTGTGTCCGTCTCTACCTCTCTCTCTGTGTGACTGTGTTTCTGTCCTGTGTCTTTGTGTCTGCGTGTGACCCTCTGTCTTTCTGTGTCTGTCCCTCTGTTTCTCTCTCTCTCTGTCTGTGTGTCTGTCCCTCTCTGTGTCTCTGTTGGTGTTGGCTGAACACTGGCTCCTGGTTTGAGAGCCGGGGATGGGGAGCCAGGCGTGGGCTTCAGTTCTGGATATTCTTTTAATGTTGAGCCTTTGAGGCGTTGCCGAGGAGAGTGTTGAGGATCTGGAGAAAGAGAGGTCTGTGTGGCTTGTGAGGATGCTCGGTGGTGTTTATTGACTGTAGGTAGGTGGGGGCGAGTCACCCTGTCCTGAAGTGTGTGTACCAGAGCCTGGCTCCTGTTTTGCCTGTTTTAATGATCCCATTGATCCCAGGCCTCATTCCCAGCCTCTGGAGATTAGCAGATGGACCCTCTCCCCCCACTCCCCTCCCTGTACTACCCCCGCCTGATTCCCTACCCCACTCCCCTCCCTCTCTGGCAAGCGAGAGGACCTGAGTTTGATTCCTGGACAGTTGGGGCAAAACTTTCAGTAGGTTTCCTTACTCCACACGCTTTGTTACCAGCAGTAGGTAGGAACCCAGTTATTAGTCAATTGGCGGATAATAAATGGCAGTGGTAATAATCCCTTAAAAAATAATGTAGTCACTGTTTGTGACGACTGTATGTGGGATGTTGCTGTGCACAATTGGCTATTGGGTTTTGCACACAAAATGCACAATCACTCCACTTTACAGTATATCCTGTGAAGCGCTTTGAGACATTCAACGATGTGATAAGGCGCTATTTCAAATGCAAGGATTATTATTATTAGACAAAGCCCTTCGGCTTGACTGCTCTGATCTCCAGCCCCCAGGTCCACTCCCCCCAGCACAACTGCTCACATTCACAAGCCAGTGTTCTGGCCTCAGCGAGCATCTCCTGCTCATCTCTTCCCAACAGTAATTCCCCTCGAAAACTTCCTGGTGTCTGTCCTGAGATCAGCTCCGTGTTGCTGCCTCAGACATTTACTCTCAATCGTGGTGAATGTTCGGTACAAACAGAGAGCAAGAGAGACGAGAGGGTGAGCTGCCAGGCTGTGGGGGGCTGTGTGGGATGTGTCGGCTGTACTGCCAGGCTGTGCCAGCTGTGGGGGGCTGTGCGGGGGAATCAACCCAGTGCCAGCCGCTCGCTATACTTGGCGCTGCTGCTTATTGCCTGATTCCAGCCTCATTGTCTCCCAAAGTCCCAGCTTTAATCTGTTTGCTTATCCCCCAAATTGCTCCTTTCACAGCAAAGCTGCATCAATCAGCTACACGGCCCTGTCCCTGTGCCAGGGTAGACACCGCGCCCCCTGCCAGTCCTCACTGTTCACCCAAACACCGCCTGCAGCACATTGCTAGATTGTTCCGCCTGCCTGTGCCCTGGCCAAGGCTGATATCAGGGCACTGGTGGACAGACACTCACACACTGACCCCTCACACACTGACCCTGGTGGGAGACTGACCGAGGACTGAGGGAGACCCAGTTTGTAATTGCTTTGGCCGTGCAATAGACTCACGGGCCTCACATGGTCATGAGATTTGGATACGGATTTGGTCTTGTGTCTTCTGTCCTGTGCAGTGTATAGAGGGTTAATGGTGGGGCTGTGTGTGGTGTATAGCGGGTTAATGTCAGTGCTGCGTGTGGCGCATAGAGTGTTAATGGGAGGCTGTGTGTGGTGTGTAGAGGTTTAATGGGGTGGGGCTGTGTGTGGTGTATAGAGGGTTAATGGGAAGGCTATGTGTGGCATATAGAGGGTTAATGGGGGTGCTATGTGGTGTGTGGAGGGTTAATCGGGGGTGTGGTTTATAGAGAGTTAATGGGGGGCTGTGTATAGTGTATAGAGGGTTAATGGGAGGCTGTGTGGGTGTATAGAGGATTAATGGCATGGCTGTGTGTGACGTATAGAGGGTTAATGGGGGTGCTATGTATACTGTGTAGAGGGTTAATGGGGGTGTGGCGTATAGAGAGTTAATGGGGGTGCTATGTAGCGTGTAGAGGGTTAATGGGGAGTGTGGTTTATAGAGAATTAATGGGGGGCTGTATATGGTGTATAGAGGGTTAATGGGAGGCTGTGTGTGGCGTATAGAGGGTTAATGGGGGTGTTTGTGTGGTGTATAGAGGATTAATGGCATGGCTGTGTGTGGTGTATAGGGGGTTAATGGCGGTTTTGTTTATGGCACATAGAAGGTTAACGGTGGGGCTGTGTGTGGCATATAGATGGTTAATGGCGGGGCTGTGTGTGGTGTATAGAGGGTTAATGGGGGACCCTGTCTGTAGTGTATAGAAGGTTAATGGGGGGGCTGAGTTTGCTGTGTAGAGGGTTAATGGGGGCTGCTGTATGTGTTGTATAGAGGGTTAATGGGGGGCTGTTTGGTGTATATAGGGTTAATGACAGGGCTATGGGTGGCATATAGAGGGTAATTGTGGGGCTGTGGGAGTCGCAGAGAGGGTTAATGGTGTGTAGTGTATAGGGGGTTAATGGGGGGCTGTGAGTGGTGTATAGAGGGTTAATGGGGGGCTGCGTGTAGTGTATAGAGGGTTAATGGAGGGGGGCTGTGTGGTATATGGAGGGTTAATTGGGGTGCTGTGTATGGTGTATAGAGGGTTAATGGGGGGGGCTGTGTGTGATGTATAGGGGGCTAATAGGAGCCTTGGGACGTCCTCCCGACGTGAAAGGCGCTCTATAAATGGAATCTTGTTGTTGTTGTTGCTGTGTGTGGTGTATAGAGAGATTATTGGGGGGGCTGTTATGGTGTATAGAGAGTTATTGGGGGCTGTTATGGTGTATAGAGGATTATTGGGGGGCTGTTATGGTGTATAGAGGATTATTGGGGGGCTGTTATGGTGTATAGAGGATTATTGGGGGCTGTATGGGTAGATATTGGTGTTAGGTAGAGGATTATTGGGGGGGTATGGTGTGGGATGGGGGGGCTATTGTGGTGTAAAGAGCTGTGCCACGTCCCACAAACAGCTGTGGATTCGAGTGACCGAATTTCACTTTACAGTGTATTCTGTGAAGTACGTTGAGACGTCTCGAAGACGTGATCGGACGCAGCCGCCTTTTGCCTCATATCCCTTGATATCCTGAGCGGAGGGAATGCACAGGTTGATTGTTAGCCGTTTGGTGGATGGCCTTTCCGGGGGTAATCAATCCCTCAAAAGAAATTAATAATTGGTCACTCAATCCACGACTGTTTGTGGGACGCCGCTGTGCGCAGTTGACTGCCACGTTTCGCCCACAAAATACATAGTCTACACTAATACACTAATACACTACCCTTTGCAGTATATTCTGTGAAGCTCTTTGAGACGTCTTGAAGATGTGATAAGGCGCTGTATCAAATGCGAGGGTTATTATTGTTATATCCTTTGATAGCCTGACCTAACCTAACAAACATCTGTCCACCTCAGTCTTGAAAGTATGAATGGGTGGGGGCAGAAAGGCTGAAGGCCTGACTGCCGATGGTGGGCCGGGCCGGGGCCGCTGAGCGGAAGGAGCAGACTGGTCAAGCCGGGGTCAGTTAGCAGGTCACGGGGGGTAGGGAGAAGTAAGGCCGTGGAGGGCTTTGAAGGCGAGGACGAGGAGTTGGAACTCTTAACAGCCTGTGAACCGCTGGGAGCCAGGCCTGACGAGCTCCAGCCGCTTCTCACACAAACCTGATTATTTCAGTTTGACAAAAAGAGGCCATTCCTGCCAGGGCCTCCTGCCGGCTCAGCACCGAGATCCCCCAGGAAATAGTTGCCAGGAGCCAGCTGGCAGCCGCTGCCGGACTGGGAGCCAAAGTCCATCTCGTGTGTGTGTGTGTGTGTGTGTCTGGCTGTCAGTCAGTCAGTCAGGCTAAGCTAAGCTAAGCCGAATGCAAAATACTGCAGATGCTGGAAATCTGGAACAAAAACAGAAGTGGCCGGGAACCCTCAGCAGGTCCGGCAGCATCTATGGAGAAAGGAAAGTCAGTCAATGTTCTGACAAAGGGTCGTGGACCCGAAATGTTGACTGACTTTCCTTCCTCCATAGATGCTGCCTGACCTGCTGAGGGTTCCCGGCCACTTCTGTTTTTGTTCCGGCTAAACTGGGCCTGACTGAATTCCTTCAAAAAAATAAATAAATAAATAATGATCTAGTCACAGCAATCCGCGACTGTTTGTGGGACACTGCTGTATGCGATCGGCTGCCGCGTTTCGCCCACAAAAACATACAATCTACTCGCCTTACCACCTATTTTGTGACGCGATAAGGCGCTACATCAAATGCAAGGATTGTTGTTATTGCTATAATGATCCGAACAACGGCGCGTCTGATAGCGCAGAGCTCTCCCCCCTCCCCCCCACTCTGCTCACAGCCTGAGACTCCACCCTCCCACCCCAGCCCCGCGCTGGAGACTCAGCCCTGTAAGATCAGTGTCTGACTTGGGGTCTCTGACACAGTGACTGAGCCGGGCTGACACATGGACTGTTTAATAATTCTGATAACTGGATAAATAAAGTCACAATACTGTACACGCACACAGCACAGACACATAAACAATACCATGGTTTAGGAGGGTCAGCCAGGTATCTGTTTGGAGTCTAATCAGCTCTAACCGTATGGCTTGTCATTGAGAGCACCGTCTGGCAAGCTTTTCCACACCTTGTCCAGCCAGGACAGTTTTCTCAGAGATCACTTTGTGACCTGTGTAGTGACTGCGTTTATAGGCAAATACACCAACGGCTGCCAAACAGTGCTGCAAAGACTGGAGGGGATTTGTGCATTTTATTGGGGATCTGTGAGCAGGCGGAAGGGTCTCAGGCTGTGTGTGTGACAGACTCTGTGTGTGTGTGTGAGACGGGCTGTGGGGGGGGGGTGTCACAGGCTGTGTGTGTGTGTGTGTGTGTGTGTGAGAGACGGGCTGTGGGTGGGGGGAGATGTGGTGTCTGGATCTGTGAGTGGGGGTCTCACTGTGCTGCTGTTTGCAGTTGAACCAGCTAGACCAAGCAGCGGAGGCAGCTCACACCTTCTTCGTAGCCAATCCCGAGCACGTGGAGATGGGGCAGAGCCTGGAGCAATACCGGCAGCTCAGCGGGGTCCAGCCGGCACACTTCATCGACCGTGAGGCCAGGCCACACATGGTGAGCACCGACACCACAGCACCCCGGCACAGAGCAACGACAACAACACACGACATTTACATAGCGCCTTTCACCACAGAGGACGTCCCAAGGCGCTGGACAGTCAGGGATCCGCACCCGAGCTGGTGGCTGGGACCAGGAGGGGTGGAGGGCGGGGAGGGTAGCGGGAGGAGGGTGACCAAAGGCACAGTTGAAAAGGAGGGTCTTGAGATGGGTCTTGAAGGAGCCAAGGGAGGGGGCAAGGTGGAGGGACTGTGGGATGGAATTGCAGTTGCGGAGGTGGGGAAAGACGGAGTGGGTCATGGCATGGATGCAAGGGATGAAGGATGGTTGAGGGTCGAACAGGATCGAGCAGTAGAGCGGGGCTGAGATCAGACACTCGGGAAGGCTTGCTGCTTGCTGGCTGGGGGTTGGTTATAACCGGTGGCTGGGCTGTGCTGACAGGAGGCATTCATGGTGGGGATGATGCACTATGACACGGACAGCTACACGGCTGCCATCGAGGGCTTTGAGCGGGCGCTGGAGCTGTACTGGGTGTCGGAGTCCGAGTGCCGTGCCCTGTGCCAGGGACCCCAGAGACTGGATGGCTACGGTTACCTGGAATATTCACCACATCTGTACGAGGTCATCGCGGGTAAGACACACCCCTGGCTCCGGCCAGCTAACACTGCCATTCATCACGCCGCTTCGTGCTGTGTGCGGCCCCGCCCCTTGCTGACCCCCTCCCCTCACTGACCCCTCCTCTCGTTAACCTGTTACTGACCCCTCCCCTGGCTGACCCCCTCCCTTACTGACCCCTCCCCTTACTGACCCTTCCTCTCGCTGACCTGTTACTGACCTTCCCCCCCATCTGACCCCTACACTCACTGACTCATTACTGACCCCTCCCCTCACTGACACCTCCCCCAGCTGACCCATCCCTTTGCTGGCCCCCTCCCCTCATTGACCTCAGTGTAACCATGTGATGCTGAACATCTGGAAGCCATGTAAAGGGAATGATGTGACGCCGGCTGGAGGAACTCTCTCAGCCTCTTAAGCACACAATGAGATATGTGTATGTGTGAGAGTCAATGAGTGTAGTTTGCCATCAGTATTACTAAGACTGATGGAAAAGTTCAGCTGAAATACACAGTAGCTTCTTGTGTAAACCTTTACCATCCTCCGCAGGAGCACCAATTAGTTCCAGATGTGAATCCGTTCTCTCACTCACTCACTCATTCCACACATTTCAATCATATCCTTTAATACTTGCAGAAAATAACTGTCCCAACACTTCCAAAAGACTCAACTCCCCCCACCCCCCACCCCACCCACTCTCACCGCCCCCACTCTCAGTCCCTCCCCATTTTCGCTGCCCCCAATCTCACTCATCCTACTCTTAGTCCCCCCCCACCCACATTCTCTCCTTCCCCCCCATTCTCACCCACTGACTCAATTCCGGGCTTATTTTAGGCCTAATCGGAACCCAATAACCGATTGACATAGAGACATGATTTATACCTCATTGGTAAGGTATGGCGGAGCGTCATGGGCATATTTCGGGGATCTCCTATCGTTGATGAGCTATATTAAAAAATGCTTTGATTAAGCCCCCAAATATTATGCATGAACATTCTGCAACAAAGTAGAGACAGAGGTCACATTCCTTCTAGAGTGATGCATCTATACTGATAAAGACAAAATGTCTGTCTCTGTCAGGAGTCCTCCCACAGGGGTCCTCCCAAAAGGATATGTAATAATAATATTCCTGGCATTTGACACAACGCCTGATCACATCTTCTCGATGTCTCAAAGCACTTCACAGGATACACTGTAAAGTGAATTGACTGTATATTTGTGGATGAAACGCGACAGCCAATCACGCACAGGAGCGTCTGTCCCACAAACAGCTGTGGGTTGAAATAACCAATTTATCATCGNTTTTTTCTTGAGGGATTATTATCGGGCGAGTGTGTGGGGTAAGGAAACTGGCCCAAGGTTTTGCCCGGCCGGGAATCGAACCCAGTAGCCTGGCTTGTGAGGCAAGGGCTCTAATCACTGAGCTATAGGACTCCAATATGTGTGCAAATATGTGAACAAAGGATGCTAACGAGATCAATAGCACATTTTCTTAATTTTAAGGGATAAAGATGCCTAAGAAGCGAAAATCAAGGACAAATAAAATGCCACATGAAAGAGAGAAGGCCGATTAAATGAAACTGGTTATAAGCTTAGCTAAAGCGGGTACAGCTAGTAATAATAATAATAACAAACCTTGCATTTGATATCGCACCTGATCATGTCATCGAGACCTCTCAAAGCACTTCACAGGATTGACTGTAAAGTGTAAAGTCCCTCTCTTTATCTTTATCTCCCCCGGTGTCGTGGCCAACAATCTCCCACATACACGGCTCACTCACCATAGCTGTCTGGGGGATGTTGCTGGCTGCCATGTTCACCTTCAAAATACACATTTACCGCACCAGTGAGACTTGGTGAGGGAGGGTGGGGCGAGGGAGTGGGTGGGGGTAAGGGACGGTGGGGTGAGGTAGTGTGTGGGGGTGAGGGAGTGTGTGGGGATGAGGGAGTGGGTGGGGGTGAGAGAGGGTGGGGATGGGAGTGGGTGAGGGGTGGGGATGTCTCTTACGCTCTGAGCTCTGGTTGTGTGGGGATGGAGGGGTGTTTTTCATGTTCTGAGCTCTTTCTCTCTCTCTTTCTCCTCGTGCCTACAGATCAACATGGTGGAGGGGGGTTGTTGGTGTGGGGTGTGGCAGTGGGGTGTTTTGTGAGAGGGAGGGTGGGGGTGTGATGGGGAGTAGGGGGGTTACAGTGTGTGTGAGGGTGGTGCCTCTCGTTCTGAGCTCTCTCTCTCTCCCCCCCCCCCCCCACCCCGTGCCCACAGATCACTACGGGCAGGTTCTCCGCTGTCAGCATGAATGTGGCCGGGATCTGGCCACTCGCCCTGGACGCCTCTCGCCCATCGATAACTACCTGCCCTCACACCTGGACTTCCTGCAGTACTCCTACTACCAGGGTAAGCAGGATGGGGGGAGGAGCTCTCTTGGGGTGGGGCTGTCTGGGGAAGTGGCTCTGGGAGAGGCTGCTGAGGGGGGCTGTCTGGGGGGAGTCTGGGGGGGCTGTCTGGGGGGGGCTGTCTGGGGGTGGGCTCTGGGGTGGGGCTGTCTGGGGGAGGGGGTGTCTGGGGGTGGAGCTCTGGGGAGAGGCTGTCTGAGGGAGGGGCTGTCTGGGGGTGGAGCTCTGGGGTGGGGCTGTCTGAGGGAGGGGCTGTCTGGGGGTGGAGCTCTGGGGTGGGGCTGTCTGAGGGAGGGGCTGTCTGGGGGTGGAACTCTGGGGTGGGGCTGTCTGAGGGAGGGGCTGTCTGGGGGTGGAGCTCTGGGGTGGGGCTGTCTGAGGGAGGGTCTGTCTGTGGGCGGAGCTGTCTGAGGGAGGGGCTGACTGGGCAGAGCTCTGGAGTGGGGCTGTCTGAGGGAGGGTCTCTTGGCGGAGTGGCTCTGGTGGCCTGTGACACTCTCTCTCTGTGCAGTGGGAGACCACACGCGGGCACTGGAGGCCGTTCACTCGTATCTTCTCTTCCACCCGGGGGACGAGGCCATGGAGGAGAACCTGTATTATTACAGCAGCCACCGCCACGATCCCCCCATCTCCCCCCGACCCGTGAGTAAACCCTAATCCCCCCCGCTCCCCCTCCACTCGCTCCCCCCCACACCTCCCCCTCCCCACCTCCCCCTGCTCCCCCCCCACCTCCCCCTGCTCCCCCCCCACCTCCTCCCCACCTCCACCTGCTCCCCCACCATGTCCGTCCCCCCTTCTCTGTCCGTGCCGCCCCCCTGATCTCTGATCTCTGCCCCCGCCCCACAGGACGTGCTCAGGTACATGGAGAGATACCAGGCTGAGAAGCAGCTACTCACGTCCCACAGTCAGGAACTCGGAGCCTTGTACATCGATCCTGTAAGTTCTACATCAACCGTCTAACTAATCCCACTTCTCCCTCGCTCTCTCACTCACTCTCTCGCTTACTCTCTCGCCCGCTCTCATTCGCTCTCCCTTGCTTCTCTCATTGTCTCTCACTCATTCTCCCTCGCTCACTCTCTTGCTCACTCTCATTCACTCCCCCTTGCTGACTCTCAGTAATTTTCTCACTCACTCTCGCTCGTTCTCACTCACTCTCACTCACTCTCTCGCTCCCTCTTGCTCGCTATCTTGCTTGCTCTCTCACTCACTCTTGGACCCTCTCACTCTATCCCTCACACTCTCTCTCTCCTGCTCTGCCTCTCTCACTCACTCCCCTCTATCCTTTAACAAGAAACAAAAATAATAATAAATTGGTCGTTTTCAACCCACGGCTGTTTGTGGGACAGACACTCCTGTGCGCAATTGGCTGCCATGTTTTGCCCACAAATATACAGTCAATTCACTTTACAGTGTATCCTGTGAAGCGCTTTGAGACGTCGAGAAAACATGATCAAATGCCAGGATTATTATTATTATTTAAAAAAATCCTCTGCGCCCCCCCCCCTCCCCCCCAGTGCTCACATCAGAGCCCACCATGGTCCGGTTGGGTTGGCTGCCCCAGCCCCAGCCTATGGGATAATGCCGTCTACCTGACCGCTCGCTCCCGGTCCCCGCGTGCGCACTATGGCTGCCGCTTTACCCGAGCCCCCTCACCCCCTCCCTCCCTCCTCTCTACCCCCAAACCCTCCCCCTTCTGCATCTCTCCCACTCTGTCCTCCTCTCTCTCCATCCCTCTCGCCTTCTATCCCCACTTGACCCTCCCACACCCTCCCTCTGTTCCACCCTGGGAATCCTCCGCCGGGCTCACCGCGGCACTCGGCATTGGCTGTCCAGCAGCAGCCACACCGACTGCCCCATTCCCCACCACACTCGCCACCCACCCCGGACACAGACCCGGGGAGCCAACCTCTCCCCATTTCTCCGACCCCTGCTTCACAACCTGGACCCCCCTCCCCTCCCACACACCTTCTGTCAACCGCTCCCTCCACATCGGACTACAAAACGTCCGCTCCCTCTGTAACAAGGCCCTGGTCATTATGGCCTTAACGGAAACCTGGCTCACCCCAGGCGACACCTTCCCCCTCACGGAGGCCACACCACCCGGCTACACCTCCCACCACATCCCTCGGCCCAACCGCCGTGGCGGTGGTGTTGCCCTTATCTCAAGGACACCACTTGCCCTATCCCCCTACTCCTCTGGCTCTTTCCCCTCTTTCGAACACCTCACCCTCTCCCACCCCTCCTTCCTCTCACTTAAAATCCTCCTCCTCTACCAGCCCCTAAAACCTCTCCCACCTTCATCTCCGATATTTCGACACTACTTACATCTCTCTGCCTCTGCTCTGATCGCCTCACCATCCTGGGCGACATCAACCTGCACTTCACCCCCTCCTGCTCAATCTCCTCAGACTTCTCTTCCCTGCTCTCCTCACTCAACCTCTCCCTCCACATAAACTCCCCCACTCACAGTCACGGCCACCCACTCGACTTGGTGATCACCCGGGGTCTCAGTGTCTCGGATGTCATTATCACCGACAAAGCCGTCTCCGACCAACACTTTATCTCCTTCACCACCTCCACCCCCCTCCCCACCTCCACCAGACCCACCACCATCTTCTACCGCCCCTGGAAGAAGTTACCCCCACAATCCCTAACTACTGCCTTGGAGTCCTCTGAACTCCTCTCCCTCTGGCCTTCAACCCTCACCGACCCCTCTTCTGCTCTCACCCTCCTCCACAACACCCTCTCCTCCACACTTGACACTCTTGCCCCCATCACCTCCCGTACTGTCTCCTACTCTCGCTCTTCCCCCTGGTTCACCACCCACCTCCGCTCACTGAAGAGCCAGGTGTGGGCCGCTGAATGCACCTGCCTCAAATCTGGCCTATCGGTCCACCGACAAATCTGGGTGGACCTCCTCAAAATCTACCACTTCACTCTAGCCTCGGCCAAGTCGTCCTTCTACTCCAGGATAATCCTGGAGGCGAAGAACAACCCCAGGCTACTGTTTTCTACCACATCCCGACTCCTCCGTCCCCCCCGCAACCCCACGCAGGTCATCTCCTCCAACCTTCACTGTGAGGAGATGCTGGATTTCCTTGAATCTAAAATCAAGGAATTCGCTCCGCGGTCACTTCCCCTCCAACTTCCACCCACCCCCCACCCCCTCCCTCCCACACTCCGACTCCTACCCATCCTCCCCTACACACTTTCGTACCTGTTTCCCCACTCTCTGTCACCAAACTCATCCTATCCCTGAAACCCACCACCTGCTCCCTTGACCCCATCCCCACTCCACTCCTTATCTCCCAGCTCCACCTCCTGCCCCACATATCACAGACATCGTCAACCTGTCCCTCTCCTGTGGCTCTGTTCCCATTCCCTTAAAAACTGCCACCATCACTCCCACCTTGAAAAAACCCTCCCTTGATCGTCGCAGCTATCAAGCTACCGCCCACCTCCAACCTCCCCTTCCTGTCCAAGGTCCTGGAACGAGTTGTGGCCTCCGAGCTGCGCTCTTTTCTCTCCACCCATTCATTATTCGAACCCCTTCAGTCGGGTTTCCGTGCTGCCCATAGCACAGAAACTGCCCTGGTCAAGGTCACCAATGACATCCTGACCATCTGTGACCAGGGCTCCCTCTGCCTCCTCGTCCGCCTCGACCGATCGGCAGCATTCGATACGGTCGACCATGGTATCCTCCTCCACCGCTTGTCCTCCCACCTCAACCTTCAAGGCTGAACTCAACCTTCCTTGAGTGGTTTAGGTCATATCTCTCCCACCGTCTTCACTTTGTTTCCACGAATGGCTTTTCCTCCACCCCCCGCACTGTCTCGGGCGGTGTCCCTCAGGGCTCTGTCCTCGGTCCCCTCCTCTTCACCCTCTATACGCTCCCCCTGTGGTGACATCATCCGCAGACATGGGGTTCACTTCCACATGTATGCGGATGACACCCAACTCTACCTTTCCTCCTCAACCCTCAACTCCACGATCCCCGATGTCCTGACAGCTGTCTGTCCGACATCGAGTCCTGGACGAGAGACAACTTTCTTCACCTCAACGTGCGCAAAACTGAGGCCCTCCTGATTGGCTCACGTCAGCGCCTCCGCACCTCAGGCGCTGACACCATCAGCTCCGCACTCTCCACCTCTCAAAGCCATCAGGAACCTCGGTGTTCTGTTCGACCCTGAGCTGTCCTTTCTCCCCCATATCCGCACCACAACTGGCACCGCCTTCCATCACCTCCGGAACATGGCCAGACTACAGCACTACCTCACCCCTCACGCGGCTGAAACTCTGGTCCACGCCTTTATCACCTCAAGGCTGGACTATGGGAGCTCTCTCCTTGCCGGCCTTCCCAGCCCTCCCTCCACAAGCTGCTGTAAAAAGGCCAATGTGGTTTGGGTTTTATGTCCAGAAGAATACAATGAAGGTACATGGAGTGTTATCACCACCGAGTGTTGGCTCAGTGTAATTGCACTGTTGAGTTTTGAGACGTCCTCCGGCCCATTTGTTCTCATTCTTCCAGACCCTCAGCCGACTGGCCTCTGTAGAGTGACCTCCTCCAGACCCTCAGCCAACTGGCCTCTGTAGAGTGACCTCCTCCAGACCCTCAGCCGACTGGCCTCTGTAGAGTGACCTCCTCAGACGCTCAGCCAACTGGCCTCTGTAGAGTGACCTCCTCAGACGCTCAGCCGACTGGCCTCTGTACAGTGACCTCCTCAGACGCTCAGCCGACTGGCCTCTGTACAGTGACCTCCTCAGACGCTCAGCCGACTGGCCGGCCTCGGCCCGGCATCACAGCATCACAGCATCACGGCATCACGCATCACAGCATCACAGCATCACGGCATCACAGCATCACAGCATCACAGCATCACAGCATCACAGCATCACGGCATCACAGCATCAAATTGTTATTTGTTAAATAAATTTCAGTTTTCTGACGTCACCCACTATCAACACCGGCCCCCACCACCCGCCCCCACCACCCGCCCCACCACCAGCCCCCCACCCGCCCCACCACCAGCCCCCACCCGCCCCACCACCAGCCCCCCCACCCCCCCCACCCCCCCCCACCCGCCCACCACCAGCCCCCCCACCCGCCCCACCACCAGCCCCACCTATAAAGAAAACCTTCCTGGTGTCTCCCCTCCGCTGGTCTGTTTATGTTTTCTATTCTGTGGGACATCTTATAGTGACCCCTGTACAGTGACCTCTATATGATGACCTCTGTATGGTGACCTCTATACAATGACCTCTATACGGTGACCTCTGTACGATGACCTTATTGTGGAGGGTCTCCTCGCAGCTCAGACCCTCACAGTGACTGACCTCTTGTTACAGAATCACTGGATCAGCCCCATGTCACAGCATCAGGAAATGCCAACTGTGAGCAGGTGAGCAACGTGGCTCCTGGAGTCAGGCTCTCCAGGATGGTCAGGGGGAACAGGAGTGGGGAGCCTGATGTTTGGGGGGAGGGGGTTAGTCGGGGTACGGGGAGGGGGTTAGTTGGGGTGCAGGGAGGGGGAAGGGGATGGTCAGATGGTATGGGGAGGGGTAGGGGGATTGTCAGGGGTTGCGGGGAGGGGGCAGGGGGATGGTCAGTGGGTATAGGGGTTTCTATCACTCACTCTGTCACTCTCTCTCTGTCACTCTCTGTCATTCTGTCACTCTCACTCTGTCACTCTCTCTCTGTCACTCTCTGTCACGCTCTCTCTGTCACGCTCTCTCTGTCACGCTCTCTCTGTCACGCTCTCTCTGTCACTCCCTCTGTCACGCTCTCTCTGTCACTCATTCTCTCTGTCATTCTCTCTGGTACCATTTCTTTGCTCAGTCAGTAACCCCCTCCCCCTTCACCCCCACTCCCACCACTCAGGCCGGGCAGTGAGGAGGGGGTGACAGAGGTCAGGAACAGCCTGGACGGACGGAAGAGACCGGCCGAGAAGCACGAGAATTTCAAAGAAGGTAAAAATACAAATAGTAATTTATAAATGATAGTTAATTATAAAATAATCTCTGTCACTCTCTCTTTGTCGCTCTCTCTCTTTGTCACTCTCTCTCTTTGTCACTCTCTCTCTGTCACGCTCTTTCTGTCACTCTCTCTGTCACTCATTCTCTCTGTCACTCTCTCTGTCACTCTCTGTCTCTCTGTCACTCACTCTGTCTCTCTCTCTGTCTCTAATTCTCTCTGCCATTCTTTCACTCACTCTCTTTCACTGTCACTCTCTCCCTCTGTCACTCTTTCTATCACTCACTCTGTCACTCTCTCTCTGTCACTCTCTGTCATTCTGTCACTCTCACTCTGTCACTCTCTCTCTGTCACTCTCTGTCATGCCTCTCTGTCACGCTCTCTCTGTCACCCTCTCTCTCTGTCACCCTCTCTCTCTGTCACGC